TAAGGAGCCCCTTCTTAATCCCTGATACCGGGGGGGGGGTCCTTAAGCCAAGCTCGTGATCCTAAACCCTAAACCCTAAACCCTAAACCCCTAAACCCCTAAACCCTAAACCCTAAACCCCTAAAACCCTAAACCCTAAACCCTAAACCCTCCCCAAGCCTCGGAACCCGAGGCTCCATGCCTGCGGCGACTGTCGGCGATGGCAGCGCCTTTTGGACGGCGCTGTAATGTAGGGCTTATTTAGGGGTCGGAATAGTTTGTAACAGTTTCAAAAGCAGTTGTAATATCTTATAGGGGTCGGAATAGTTTGTAACAGTTTCAAAAGCAGTGTAATATCTTATAGGGGTCGGAATAGTTTGTAGCAGTTCAAAAGCATTGAAATATCTTATAGGGGTCGGAATAGTTTGTACTAGTTCAAAAGCATTGTAATATCGGGGTCGGAATAGTTGGTAATAGTTCAAAAGGAGCTGTTGAAGGGTTCAGGCTTATTGGGCTTGGGGTGTTCAGAGGCATGTGGGTGTTGCCGAAGGTTGTTTTGGGGTTTCGGGCTTGTGAACCCGAGGCGATGCCATAGGTTTCGGGGTTGGGGTGTAGGATTCGTACATGGGCGGTTGTCAAAATTATGGTCCCTTTTTGGGTCCTTATTATAATACGGCACCTATTATTTAGGGTACCCGAAAAGGGGCCATAATTTTGACAACCACCCACATGGTAAACCCTGAGCCGTTTGCCTCGAACCTGCAGCTCCGGAGCCATTCATCCCCAAGTAGGAGGGGAAAAAGTCATCCCAAATCCAACCAGCCTTAAACCACCCGGAGAGCCCATACACCGCAAGTGAGTCAAGCCATGTCTCCTACGACACATTCGGCATGCTTCTTTAAGCTAGCTTCACGGATATTCCGTGGTTAAGCAGCAGTGGGCGCTCTACAAAGCATGTAGATCACCGTATAAACGCCTCAAGGCCCTCCAAGCAAAGCCTTTTATAACGCTCTTATGAACCCTATAAGTCAATGCTGAGGCCGCACCAACACACACACACTCTCTCTTTCTTAGACAGAGAAAATTTACTTTTGAATAGATATGTGTACTTTCGTGTGCTGGTCTAGTTGTTTGGATTTCTGCGTGCACGCACGCACACACTTGGAGACCAGTCATCCTTA